TTTTTTGGGGGGGTAATAAGATTTTGTTCAGTCACGTGCACACTGTCTTTGCAGTGACACATGAGTTGGGATGATTATCATTTTCATACTCTGGTCGTCTCATTTCATATTCATTCAGTGACATATTACGAATGAGGAAAAAACAATGGCCAAGACCAGTACAACAACGAAAAACGACATCTTACGCAATAGATCAAAATTGGTTCCGGGTGTCGCAAAATATGGTTTTCAAAGGATTCATTGATAGTTTTTTTTTTTTTGTTGTTGTTGACCAGTTTTTGTGTTCGACACAACCCAACTGGTCGACTTTGTTTCCCCAGCCCTAAAATTGACATGGTCATTCTGTTATGAAATTTAATGCACCCAGAATCCCTTCACCCTTGAGAAATTGTGTCAGAATAAGTTTTCTGGGCAAGGTATTGGATTTTTTTTTTTTTTTTGGTGGGGTCAATTTTATCTGAAATATATCTTCTTAAAGATAATAGAATTTTTTTTTTTTTTTAACTTGAGGATCTATCAGTCAACTTGGCGGCCTGTGGGCCCTCAATGAATTCCCCACGCACCCCCACCCAAAAAAAAAATGTAAACATGTTTATAATTTGCACAACCATTTTTTTGGTTTTGGCAAAAACATTTTTTTCTGTGGGGGAAATTCTAAACATGTTCCAAATCATTTTTCAAGATTTAAAGTTGTTTTTTGGGGGTGGGTGAGGACAACATTTTTCTGTGAAAAACGTATGTTTGAAGAATGTTGGGGGGTGTCAAAACTAAATGCTCCTCCCCCTTTTTTTCCAATGCTTTTCAAAGGGATTTTCACTATTTGCCGGCCGGCACGTATTTTTTATTTACTTATTCACTTCTATCCCTTTTTAAAGGTCATTTTGTCATCCGCGTGGTTCAAAAGTGCTTGGTGCCCCTCTCTGTGGGCAACCCCCCCGTAGCGCTGATGAAAAACTGTGGCCCCCTCCGTCATTTAAGTTGCCCATTCCAGAACTGCAGTATCTCTGCATCCATCCCGTTGGATCATTCAGCTCAAGTCTGCACGGTCCGCAAGCAGTTTGGAGCGGTTCCGCGCAGATGTGATGAGTGGAAAATAGTGCGTGTAATGTCTTGTTTCTTTTTTTTTTTTTTTTCTTCACACATTTGCATATGTCAAGGAGGGCTTCCCAGCAGTTCAAATCGGGACAACTTGGGAACGATGCCCTTCACTTTGGCACCGCCGCCACGACTCTCCATCTCTCGACTCTTCATCCTTGTCATCCGACTGTCATGCTTGTTTTCACGGGCCAACATGCCAGCCCTCCCCCCTGACCCCCATCCCACTCTTAGGCCACAGTCTGTCGCCGCTCCCCTCCACCGTTGGCTGCGCACAGATGGGAATGTCATCAGCGTTTCCCCCTCCGCTCTGTCTCCCACACTCTCTATTATGTCTTCCTCTTCCTAATCCCTCACCCGGTGAAAAATAAGATGCGCGGGAGGCAAGGAGGCGAGTGGAACGGAGCCCGAGGAGAGCGGAGAGGAGTCGGCATGCGGGCCCGGGTCCCAGGCTTTTCCTGAGCGACATTCCCAGTAATGTTCTGTCCTTGTAGAACATTGGGCTGCCTCCGCTTTTTATGAGATGCGGTTTTCCTGACTCCACACGGCTTCCAGGAGACCCAGATGGAACCGCTAACAACTCCCAGCACTGCGTGCACACACTGTGTATATACACACACACACACACACACACACACACACACACACACAGAGTCTTAACCCTAATTGCACACACACCCGGAGGAATGCTTATTCAAACTATCAGGCGCACACGGCCGCAGAATTACTGTGGCCCGCCAAAACTCACTGCTGCATGCCTCCACACGAGGGTGTCTACTAACCATTAACTCACACAAGCGGACTCCAAGGAAAGAAAAAAAAAATTGTACATGCATAGGACATGAATGCGGTTGATGTAATTACACGCATTGGCAGTGCAACAGAAATCCAGACGCTGTACAGTAAACTCTCCGAAGGAACTGAGCCCTGAAGCATATAACAAAAAAACAAAAAAGCGTGAAAAACCGTCCTGTTAAAAACGGGGGTTGGCACCCACCCACAAAAACAAACAAGGGATATTAATTTTTTTGAACTTTTTCATGCACCCTGTAACCTGATAAGGTGATAACCTGTCCACTGTAGTAACCGCTGTCCCTGAAAGGGTTAATATTGAAAAAAATTAATCTAACAGGAGTTCAGAACATTCAAAGGGAGACAGACGTTTCCTTAAGAATGAAAAAAAAAAAAAAAAGGGCTTTAAATTCGAATTGGGCCCGCAACGTAAATCCTGGCTGATCTTGTTCTTTGGACAGAAATCTTCAGAGAAAGTCGCATTACAGCAGAAGCAAAAGCGACTGGCCTGAAACTTCCATTTTCGGTCATCCCGTTCACGACATCTTCTCCACTCACTGGCCTCCGGACGCCACTCTGCTCGCCTCCCCACAGCTCTCCATCGCCCTCCCCCCCCACACCCCCTTCCCCTTGTAACCTGTTTTCTGTTATCACTGCTTAATGCCTCACCCCGGGAGATGGATGGGAGAGAGTGAGAGTGCGCGTCCTCTTCAGGTGGAAATTCTTGCGTTCATATGGTTATGATTTGGGCAGCAAGGTCAGGCTCCAGTTTTCGCTGGAAGGCTTGCACGCTTTGTTAGCCACGTGACAGCCCGCCAGTACTTCATCAAGGTGATTCTTCCCCCCACAGACGCATTTTTATTGACTTACAAATAAGAATTAGAGCCCCCCCCCTCCAAAAAAAAAGGGATGTGATTCTAAATAATAGATTAGCAGTATGTCATTCGCTAACCACTTTTAAAAACCGTCAACGCCGGACAGCCGATGCGCCGGCATGGCAATAGCAGGCGGACAGTCACTTTTT